GTGGGGCCTTGACTTACGAGTGTCCCGACTAACGAGTTTTTTGAGATACCAGCTGTATCTCGGCCAATTTTTTGCATTGAGTTGATAGAGTAATTTGAGTTAACGAGCTCCTCAACGAGCTTGGTCTAGGAACAAATTAAACTCGTAAGTCAAGGCCCCACTGTATGCCATCCTCACCAGCATTTGTTACTATTGAGCACTTTGTCCATTATGAACCTCTTTTTCCTGGCTTGCATGACACCTCATACTCCTGATTTTATTCCTATCTCTCTAGTCATTCCATCAAGGTGTCCTTTGCAGGCTGATCCATTTGTGTCTGCCTCGGTGTTCCTTATTTCTGGGCCTACTTGCCTCCATTATTCCACTATATTATCCCTTTGTAATCCCATTCATTCCTATAGTGGCTTTGATTGCTATGCATATCCTAAAATCTCTAGCTCCATTCCTAACCATTCCCTTCTGCTCCACACCTATATATCCAACTCCCTTCTAGACATCTTCACCTGAATGTACCCCAGGAATATCAAAATATCATCTTTCTCAACAATCTCCCTCTGATCACTTCCACTGTTACTGTCTGTGAGTGAATGTCATCATCAGCCATTTGATTTTCCAAGTCAGGGAAACTTGTAACACTGTGCATATTTGTATTATTTATTAATATTTTAAATTACAAAGGTATTGGTATTAATTATATTAATTAAAACAATACCTAAGTATCCTATATAATAAAAGGCTAATATGCAAATTGACCAAACGGCAGAATGACCAGTCACTATAATGTGCACTGACCACCAGGGGGCAGGCACTCAATGAAGGAGCCCCACCCTGGTGGTCAGTGCGCTCCCACGGCGGGGGGAGGGGAGGTGCCGCTCAGCCAGAAGCCGGGCTCATAGCGGACGAGCGCAGTGGCAGTGGCAGGAGCGGGACTAAGCCGTCAGTCGGACATCCCCCGAGGGCTCCCAGACTGCAAGAGGGCACAGACTGGGCTGAGGGACCACTCCTCCCCACCCCCCTCGAGTGCACGAATTTTGTGCACTGGGCCTATAGTATAAAATAAAAGTGAAAGCCCCATCTAATCAGAGGTAAACCACTATTAACAAGGAGGTGCGGATCCTTATAGACGTTTTTGGGTGCATATTTATGGATATGCATACACATAAAAAGTTTTGTTTTTACACATATTTTATCATACTATATGTACTGTTCTGCAACTTGCTTTTTAGCATAAAATATATTGTGGATATCTTTATGCTATTAATAATATTGATATAACTTATTGTTTTTATTGGCTGCATATTACCCACATTTATTTAACTGTTATGTTACTGGTAGAATTTATTTCCAGTTTTCACTATTCCAGGGTTGCAATAAATAACTTTGTCCATACATCTTTGCATTTCTGTGCTAAGATAGCATTCTAGAAATGGGATTTCTGGGGTAAGTATATGTACATTTAAGTTTGGTTGGATAATGTAAATGTGTCCTCAAAAGAACTTGTATGGCTTTTTTCCTTCTACTTTTTAATTGAGAGAATACATACAGTAAAGTGCACTACTTTAGGTGTGCAGCAGGAAGAACTTTTATATGTGTATATACTTGTGTAATCATGATCTAGATCAAAGTAAATACCATTTCAGCACCCCATAAGGTTTTCTCTTCCTTCTCAGTAACCCAGAGATAACCATTATTCTGACTTCTATAATCATCAATTATTTTTGCCAGTTCCTATAAATAAAATCATACACTATATATTATTTTGTGTATGGATTCTTTGACTCAACATATTTTTATATTTATCCATGTTGTTGTGTGCATCATAGTTCATCTTTTTTACTGTTATACAGTGTTCCATTGTATGAGCATCCCATTGTGTACAAGTGTTTTGCGGACACATGTTAGCATTTTTCTAAGGCATATATACCTAGGAGTGGAATTGCTGGGTAATAGAGTATGTTTAATTTTTTATTAGACACTACAAAACAGTTTTCCATAGTGGCTATACCTGTTTGTCTTCCTACCAGTTGTGTAAATTGGAACCACCAATAATGATTCATGAAAGTGTCACACATTGTATTGTTATTGCCTATTTAACTTTCTGTCTCCTCAGACAATTGTAGGAATTAGGTCTGTCTTGTTCAGTACCCCAAACATACTGGATACTCAGTAACTATTTGTGTAATTAGAATCATAATTAAGTGGCTACTCTTTATTATGCCTAAAGGTCTCTACCACACAATTTGAAGAGTTAACATATGTTACCAAGGACAAATCATTATAGGCGTGGAAGTTTTATTACCCAAAGGACAGTCCCAGTTTGTTATGGGTGGAACTATAGCTTATTCATTGTTGTATTCTATATGGCATAGGACTCGGCACAGAGGAAGCACCTGTAATAATCAGCATGCTATATTTGGTTAGGTAACAGATTAATAGAACGTTAAACCTTCCTGAAACCTTTACTTACCCACATTTCTGGACTCAGATTGAAAGAAGGCAGAGAGGGAGCCTCTTCTACCACTCATTACCTGCACAGCCATGAGCCCCAATACTGGGAAATATTCCCCTAACCTCAAGCCCACGATCTGATTTTTTTAAAACCTATACAAGACTATTTACTGCAGCATATATTTAAAACTAGAGGCCCAGTGCACAAAAATTCATCCACTCTGGGGGGTCTCCTGGGGGATGTCCACCTGCCAGCTTAGGCCCACTCCCTGGGGGATGGGGCCTAAGCTGGCAGTCAGACATCCCTCTGGCAGCCTGGGAGCCCTCAGGGGATGTCCAACTGACAGCTTAGGCCAGCTCCTTGGGAGAGTGGGCCTAAGCCGCAGTCGGACATCTTTAGCACTGCCGAGGAGGTGGGAGAGGCTCCTGCCACCGCCACTGCACTGGCAGCTGTCTGCCCAGCTTGTGGTTGAGTGGAGCTCCCCCTATGGGAGCGCACTGACCACCAGGGGGCAGTTTCTGCATTGAGGGTCTGCCCCCTTGTGGTCAGTGCATGCCATAGCAACCAGTCGTTCCCTGTGGTTCCACCCTTAGGGTCAATTTGCATACTACCCTTTTATTATATAGGATAGCAAAAGTTTGAAAACTGTTTAAAAAGTTATAGTATAGCCAAACAATAGAATACAGTGTGGCCTTTTAGAAAAAGAAGAAGCTCTTTATGTCCTGACATATTGCTAAATATAAAACAAGAAAAATTAAAAAGTCAAGGTGCAGAAGAGTATGTAAATTACACTACCATTTGAGGGGGGGGACTAGAAAGAATATTTTCTGGATGGAAGATACCTACAATCTAACCTAGCTCACTCTCAGCCTTCATAGCCTGATTTCTGAGGTCCACTAAAAGATCCAGATGATGCCAGCTGGTGAAGTTTGCTCCACTATAAAGTATAACCTTATGTCTCAACCCTTGAAAGGGCTAGTATTTGAAGATTTATGGAGCCTGTGATACTAGGTCTTTATTCTATGCCTGTAACTGCCTCTAAAGTTTTTTATTCCTCTGAGAATTTGTGGACTAAGGATTTTTAAAAATATGTATTTGTATTGATTTCAGAGAGGAAGGGAGAGGGAGAGAGAGATGGAAACATCAGTGATGAGAGAGAATCACCGATAGGCTGCCTCCTGCACACCCGCTACTGGCGATCACGCCTGCAACCCGGGCATGTGCCCTTGACCTGAATGGAACCCAGGATCCGTCAGTTCGCAGGCCAATGCTCTATCCACTGAGCAAAACAAGCTAAGGCTGAGGATTTTTTTTTTAATCTTTCTTACATGAACTAGGCCTTAATCAAAATTCACTACAACTCAGATTCATTTCCATTTCTAGTACCATCACTGCCCACAACCAGCATGATGGATGAGCTGGCTAACATTTTGAAAGTAACAATCTATCTATCTATCTATCTATCTATCTATCTATCGATCTATCTATCTATCTATCTAGCATGTCCCCTGATTTGCATGTTTTCACCCTATTAATGTAGTATAATCTTCAGTCTTGCCTCCCCTCACATCTAAGCGACATGGGTTATAAATAAAAATCCTTAATTTTGTTCCCATGTTGAATACTAGGTTAACATAAGTAAATCTTGGAAACTTGGGAATTTGTCAGTCCCAACTTTCTGTTTAATTTACATAATCATTTGAATAAAAGTGCATATGTTAATGAAACATCTGTAGTTTTTTATACATTAAGATGGCATTTTTTTCAATATTTAAAGTTATCACTTACTATTGAATTCTTTTGAATTTTTTAAAATAGTCACACCAGAGTCCTCCAACGCAGGACCCTGAATGTCATATACTTCCCCCTTTTCCATGGATCTCACTTGTGAATATCACCATGCTTTTCACATAGTAAAAGGGAGAATATAAGTAGCATTCTTCCTAGTTTTCTTCTTAGACAATTGTGCTCTCCCTAATCAGAGCTGAAGGGTTCTAGAAACAGGGATCAAAATACATTTTAAGATATTTGGGGGAACTCCTAGAAAGCTGTATGGTGAATCACCTTCACAAAAGTATGTAATCAGTTATGAACTCCTTTGGAGAGATGTGACAACACCATAGACAATTAAGATCATTTCATATATTGCTTTTCCTTAGAGTGAGGTCAACTGATGTACCCATGATCTCTAAAAATCACATTTCTAATAATTCTCTATAATTCTTATCTTGAGCTCTTCAGCTCTCTCAAAACATCCTGTTATACCTTAGCCTTTAAAAATAAGTGAATACATAACTGAGACAGCATGTGGGCTTGGGGAGAGACCTCTTCTTCTAAGCATTATTGTACCCTTATTGAACATGGATGTTAATAAATTAGATATTCATTCAATCAAAATATATTCAGTTCTATATTGTATGTAGTGGGCATATGTGGGTTTTCCCCACCTACTCATCCATTCCTAACATCACCATAATTTCTTTTTTCAGGATTATTTATTTTCCAGTGTTGATATTATTGGTGGAATGATAAATCCAAGCTTTTGTCTTACCACTATCAAAACCAAGGAGCTCCTGAAGATGCGGCTTTCTTCTGCCACATCCTTCTTCTCACTGCTCAGTGAAGCACGCAATTTAAGCTCAGCCTAACAGAAGCAGTTTCATGAGACTCTGAATATTAATCTGGTAACATGAGGCTACAAGAAATTACAGTTTATTCTACCTAATAGTAATGCCCTCACAAGAAGATTCAATAAGACAAGCAATAACAAGTGTTGGAGAGGTTGTGGAAAAAAAGGGAACCCTTATTCACTGCTGGTGGGAATGTAGACTGGTACAACCACTATGGAAATCAGTCTAGCAATTCCTCAAAAAATTAAAGGTAGAGCTACCATATGACCCAACAACCCCATTCCTGGGTATATACCTGAAAAACTCGAAATCATTTATACACAAAGATATATGCACCTCTATGTTCATTGCAGCATTATTCACGGTGGCCAAGACATGGAAACAGCCAAAGTGCCCTGTGATAGAGGACTGGATAAAGAAGATGTGGTACATATACACAATGGAATACTACTCAGCCATACTAAAGGATGAAATAGTGCCATTTGCAACAACATGGATGGACATTGAGAACATTATGCTAAGTGAAATAAGTCAGACAGAAAAAGCTAAGAACCATATGATTTCACACATATGTGGGATATAAAACTTATGAACACAAACAGCAGTGTGGTGATTGCCAGAGGGAGGGGGGTGGGGGAAGAAAAGGGTCCCAGTATGAGGCGACAGGAGAAGATTTGACTTTGGGTGGTGGGCACATGGTGCTATATACAGATTTTGTAACTTAGTAATCCACACATGAATGAAACCTATATGTTCATGTTGACTAATGTCACCTCAATAAAATTTAAAAAAAAGAAGATTCCCTGCTAGGAGACTACTCCTGTGGTTTCTGATTTGTAGACCTGTATCTGTTTTCAAGCCCTGTCCTTTAACTTTCCCATAAATTTCTTGAGTTCTCAAAACCCTTTCAACCATTTTTCTTTTCTTTAGGTAATCAGAACTAACAATACTGTCAGTTCAAAGACATTTGGTTTCTGTTCTGGCAACCAAAGCACCTTGACTGAAACATTGTGCTTGGCACTGATAATATGGCAGTCAACAAGACAGATGAAGCTTAAATATTAGTGGGAAACAGGTTTACTCAACACTAATATAAGAAACTTTACATTAAGAAAAGTCAGCCATTGCTTTCATATAACTCATGTACTTTAGACTATTCATTTATTTATTCGTGCATGCAACAAATGTTTATGACATGCCTACAAGGTGCTAGACATTATCAGTATGAATTTAATCCATTTTATTTGTTTTGCCTAATCAATAGAGTTATAACTAGGTCCTTCCTCCATTGCTCCAAGCTCCTTGTGTCCCCTAAATTCTTTAAAGTCAGGACCAGAAACATACCCATTAACCATAGGCCTGGGGTGTTGAGGTTATAAGCCTTACTTCCTTTTACCCTTTCACTCTACAACCTTCCCATATCTCTGGGTACAGGGAAGGTAGGCCATCACAGATGATCACTGTCATCTTTGGGACTTCTGAAAAAATAGTAAGGATTGGGGTCTTGGGCAGAAGCATCCTTAAACTTGTCCCAGAGAGAGTTTAGTACTAGTCAGTGTTTCCAGCTTGCCCACAGTAAACCAGAGCACAGCAGAGAATAAATAGTTAGAGCCAGTACCCTGAAAGCTCCAAGGGGCTTTGTAACTTTGTTGATTTAGTAATGAGGATTTGCTTGTGGCATTGAGAAATGGAGTCCTGCCTTACCCAAGCTGTCCCCCCAAAACCTGGAATACCCTACCCTCAGTCCTGACTAAATACTGCAACATTTATTGCTGGTGAAGCACTTTTCTCCCACCAAATCCTTGTTTTACTCATTCACTATTCCAATGTGTATATCTGGTCTCCCCATGTAAACAGTAAGTTGCTGGGAGTAATAGCATAAGTATGACATATCTGAATCTTTCTCTTCATGTCAGGGCTCAATGAATGCTTGGGAGTTGATTGTTCATTGAAAGCAGCCCAAAGGTTCTAGGGTCTCTTTTCCATAGTCATTTGGGTCTGTCTTCACACAATTGTCAGCCATTTTGTGGGCCTAGGAAGAGCAAACCAACAGATGCCTGAAAGATGTTTAATCAGTGTTTCCCCTACAATTTCAAACTGTCACCTAATTTGTGATAAACCCATGTTTTACTAATTAGCAGGAGGAGTCATGACAGGAATCATGAACTTTTCTATAAAATTGAATTTCTATTCTTGACAGCATGTCAGGTCATTAGAGACAGGCTGTACGTTCATCACTCCAGCAGCAGCAGAACAGTCATAATCCTATTACTCTGAAAATAAATATAATCAAGGGCATTTTCACAGCCAAAAATGATCCCCCAAATCAAAGCACATGCAGAGGTATATATTTGTAGATTTGCTAATTATACCCAAGTCTTGTCCCTAAATCTGTTTTTGAATGAAGGTGACAATATTGTCAGTTCAAAGACATTTTTAACATTTGAGATATTTTGTTCATCATTTATGTTAGTTCTTATTCACTCACTGGCTCATCTTCCCCTACAAAAAAAGTACACAGAGCCCTATGTGGAACAAAGTATGTGGGATTTCATCAGAGCAAAATTTCATAGGCAAGGGGATTGACTCAGGCAGATAATCAGGGGCCTACAAGTCTACCTACATTTTTATGTTTGTGGGATGGCAGAGAGGGCAAAGAAGAATGTAAGAACTTTATACCAGTGACAGGTACCAGTGTTCCAGGCTATTTAGTAGTCAATGGCAAATCTTATTTAAAGGATCCAATATGGTACCTTTCATAGGGCAGACATGTTGGGTGAGGCCATGAAGGGGTGAGAGGTGGGTGGGGTTGGAAAGAGAAAGGAGATAAAATATTGTGTTTCAGCCTGGCTGGCATGGCTCAGTGGTTGAGCATCAACCTATGAACTAGGAGATCATGGTCCAATCTCCGGTCAGGGCACATGCCTGGGTTGCAGTGCTCAATCCCTAGTATGGGGTGTGCAGGAGGCAAACCATCAGTGACTCTTTCATCATTGATGCTTCTATCTCTTTCTCCTTCCTTCCTCTCTGAAATAAACAAAAATATATTTTAAAAAATAAGTAAATAAAAGTATTGTGTTTCACTATGCTAGAAAATTTATAGACATCATTTTTATTTAAGCCTCACTTTAGCTCAAGGATGAGTTTACTATTATTATTACTTCCCCCAAGTCTCCCATCTAGGAATCTGTCACATTTTTGTCAAGAGCTAGGATTTGAACCCAACCCATCTCTGTTGTCTCCACAGCTCACTGCACCATACATACTCACAAAGGTAATGGGAGACTAGATGTATGATACTGAAACCCAAAGGTTTATCTTTCTTTCTCATTTGAAGGGTCCAATGGTCTTTATTTATGTATGTATACATTTATTTATTGCTTGAAGAGGTAACATATTCTCTCAGTACAAGATTTGAAAGATATGAAAAGGTATAGGGTGAAAAGTAAATCTCCCTTTCGTTCCTGCCTCCGGATACCCTGTTACTCTTCCTGAAGGAAACAACTGATACCAGTTGCTTGTGTATACTTCCAGAACATGAATGCAAGCAGCCTCCCTGGCTGGGAAGCTTTGGTGGCAATATTTGGAATGGGATTAAGATGGCCAGCTATCATGCTAGTGTAAAACAGGCACAATTATCTTCAATGCTCACTCTGTTGCCTTTGGGTGACTCTTCTGGTCTCCATCCCCTTACTTTCCTGCTTACCTTGATCTGTCCTTTCCTCCCTAGAGAGAAACTCCAGCTTCAGACAATTCCCGTCCTGTTACATTCCTCAGAACCCTGCTTGCTGTTGCCTCACGAGCTGCCATGACTGAGAAATTTATCCCCACTAGAGAATTCATGGGTGTCTGTGGATTGATGAGCTACCCTTTTCATAGAACATGTTTCCATTTTAGCAGGGGTGTTCAATCAAAAGAGTGATTTGAATAATGGGGATTTCAGGTGCTTTGTCATGAGAGACCAACAGGATAGTGAGATTTTGTTTGTTTGTTTTTCCCAAAATGTACAATCTTGTGGCTCTTCCCATCTACTTCCTCTGTGGTGTCAGGTCAACTGGATATTCAGAAACTTTGGCTACCTGAAATTGTTTGATTCGCAAGCAGTAAGAACCCTGATCTGGATTTCTTTTTTTCTTTCAAGAGTATGTGGACACTCAGAGTTTTTGAAATAAAATCTCTAATGCTAAATAGACAGTTCTCCCTTAGTATATAATAACTATATACTCAAATATTATCTAAAAAGAAAGAAACCACTGTAACAATAAATAGGATAATTATTCTGACTTTAATATTCACTAAATGCTATCTCATTCTGCTCCTTCCAAAATAATATTTAGAATATGAAGTTGGAGCAGATGGCTTCACAAATTCAACATTTTCTCCAATCTGGGGGTGCGGAGAGTAATGTATTTCTGCTGGGGTTTATTGAAGGTATCTTTGTTTATGAATGGAATTCATTTTGATTTCCACAGGTAATATTCTTCTCACACAATTAGGCACAACATCACAACTCAAGGGAGAGCAACAGTAGGAATCTTCATCATAGTTATCTGTTTTAAGAAAACAAAACACAACAACATTTTTTTTTGTTAAAAATTTGAACAAAGTCCTCATGGCATTGGGGACTTTGCATATAGTAAAAGCATAAGAAATTTTATCTAATGTAGAAATAAATATAGGAATTAGAAAGGAAGTGAAAGTTGTAGTGCTTTCCTTGGATAGTTTAATATAAATCCAGGGTGAATTAATTCATCTCGACAACACTGCTTAGGCAATTACAACTGCCTATGTTCTTCATGCATTGTGAAAAGCAAGCTGTGTTATTCACAGTAACTTTAACCTAGGGGAGGATATGTACAGACAAACCTCAGAGGCCTTCAGAAAAGTCAACATAAAATGGTAACACACATACCTATACCCTCCCATGAATTTAATATTCTTTCTCTGAAGGTGTAGTTCTTAGCCTGAGAGTGCCTACTGGCACAGAAAACACAATTTTTCATTCTGTGCTGATAGAATCAAGTTTCTGGCTGCCACAGTTTGATGGTAGCATTCAGATTGCAGTTTAGAACTTGAGCCAAAGAGACTGGACTACCTGCCGCACTGGCTGAGTTACTTCTTCGGGTGCCTTAGTTCTCTGAATCTATTGGTTGGTACAACATTAAAATCCTGGATATGGGATATGTTAGTGCTCCTCATAAGAAAAATGTGTACAGTTGTTCGGTATATTTGCTAATGAAACAATATCCCACAGGGACAGCAGGGGAGCCAATACTAACCAACCCCTTTGCAAAAATGATTTTACCCAGTCAACTCCAACTATTATCTACTAAAGAGCTTCCATAACCCCTGCCTTCTATATGCCATAGCTCTCCAGTGCCTCCATATGAGCATCACAGTATATCTACAAGCTAGCTGGCCAGAGTTTGATGAACGCTTGTGGGCAAGGAAAAAGTTTTTTATATGCACCAACATTTCCATACAGAAATGGAGACTGAGACTCTGTACACTAGACCAAGTAGTTAAAATGGAAAATAGTGCTGCCTCACACAGTCTTGTATTGAAGGTAGAGAGACTGCAGCTCTGAAAGTAATATGCCCAAGGTCACAGAGTTAGTGACAGAGCTGGGACTTGAGCCAAAGCTTTCTGACTCCTAGTTTGATGCTTAAATAAACAACCCACCATGCTGATTCCAGATTGGCTACAGCAATTGGAAATAAACTGTTATATGGAACCAACATAATGAAAAATATAAGTAGAAAAAGCAGTTCTACAGCCAGCACTGAGAAGGTGGGAGAACGATTACAGCCAGGTCACCAATGGTGTTCTGTGATTGGAGTACAGTTTGTTCTTTAAAAAAGCAACCAGAGGCCACTGTACCATCATCTAGCTGAAAGCACAGAACATAAAGTCATCAACTTGAGCTCTTAAGTTCTTGCTCACTTTGCCTTTAGACCAATTTTTTCCTTATATTTTCCTTTCCAGCACCCATCTCCACTTCAATATCTGTCTCTGTACCTAGACATTTGACTTCCTGTGGAAGAAGGTGAGCATCTAAGAGCGTTGTACAGCTCAGTGGGTATTCTTGGTAGAATGTGGCGAGCACTAGCTTGAGATCCAGGACACCCAAGTCCTGGAACCAGTTCTCTCTATTGATAGGTTGAGTGACTGTCCATAGGCAGTTTTATTTTCCTGCTTAAGGTTCCTCACCTGTAAACTGAGAGGATTGCACTAGACAATGTCTACATTTTTTTCTGCTTTTAGTAATCTATAACAATTTTTTATATTATCCATACTTTTTTTTACTTTCAGTCCCTTCTCTCTGCTATTAGTCTAATAACCCACCAGATTTGTACATACAAAGTGCTTCTATATACACTTTCTCAGTCAGCTCATGTATATACATGTACCTGTACTTTTAGTTTTGAGGAAGAAGTATATCTCAAGACCACATATGTGGCCTCATATTAATTCAATATCTCTTAAATATAAGTATAGGCAACACAGCCATTTCTCTTACCACTTGGGAAGCTTATTTCTGAAGGAGTGCCTTGTGAAGAGCCTAAAGATTTGAAAGTAGAACTACTTGTAGTTGACTTGAGGGATGGTGTCAACAATTTGTGCTTGAAGGTTTTCTTCAATCTTTCCTGTTTATACCCAACATTTAGCTCATATCTGCTGCTCCCATCTGAAATGACAATAAAAATCTTAAAAACATAAAACTCATCAAATTCTATACTTTAGATGGGTAAATTATACCTCAAAATCGTGTTTAAGTAATCTAAAGTCCAATGTACAGAGTGTTTGTTCTGAGTACCTCAAGTAGTCATATTTTTCATGAAATTATAAAAAGCTTGAATTGTAATATGTGGTACAGGCAGAGCCAATTCACCTACCCAGGATACTTGCTTTTCCTAGAGTCTGGCACAATGATTAGCAGGTGACTGACATGCCCAGCATAATGGAGTAGAATCTTTGAGTTCAAGCACTGCTTTCCCTAAAGGAGCTTCGCATTGAGATTGAAAGAAGCTGCCTGAATTGGATGGAAGAGCCTTTTTATACATAGAAAATCAGTTTGCCTGGACTGGAGATATTCCCAAAGGCTTCATCAGAGTCCACTACATCTCCTACTGTGCAGGAAGGGCCATCGGTACATTAAGGAAGCCCACTAGCCAGGTGTCTTAGGGATGTTGACAAGTTCTCCACCTGACCATCACTCTTTGCTTCCCACATTCACTCAACTCAGTGTTGGCTATGGGCCAGAAAGCCCCTGTGACACAGTGCCTGGAACGCAGTAGACAATCAATGTTCTCTTAATAGAATCAAGACTCAGGTGACAGCAAGGAAAAGCAATCCAAGGAATCTGGGCCAAAAGAAAAGCTTCACTAAGTTAAAATATGGCCCAAATCACATCTTTAACCTGACTTCATTAATCTCAGCACAGAAGTACAAATTATTTTCATGACACGGAGACAGCCTCCATTTTTATGCTAATGCTTCATGAACTCAAGTAAGGAGACAAGTTAATCTGATTAGTTTTATAAAACCTATACAATTCAAAAACTTGCCCAGACTGGCATCTTACCAGAAAAGTTATCCAATTGCAACTGCCTGCAACAGAGGTGAGTCCGCCACTGCTCCCGCACACTCTCCTTCATCACACAGTGGAACACAAAAATGAGGAATCCTATGACAAGAGAAGGTCAATCTTTTTCAGCTTCTTTCAATAGCTGTCACCAATGCCCAGAGTCAGGTGTATTCTTCTCACCGTAAATACTAAGGAATCACAGGGTCATCATTGTCTTTCTCAGCTCATTCATATTTCTATAGCCTTCCTGCCAAAGGCAGTGATGGCAAGAAGACCTGTATCAAGATTTCATGTCAACCAGTGCTTCCCCTGGGCTGCTGTCCCTCCTAGAGCTTGAGAGATCAGGTCTGCAATGATAGCCAGCCTCTAAAATTACTTTCAATGATCACCACACCCTGGCAGTCACATCCTAGTATAGTCTCCTTCCACATTGTACCAATAGTATATGGCAGAAATGATGGCATGTCACTTCCAAAATTAGGTTATAAAAGACATTGTTCTCTCTCTCCTCTCTCTCTCTCTCTCTCTCTCTCTCTCTCTCTCTCTCTCATCACTCACTTCAAAGGAAGCCAAGTGTTATGTCTTCAGGACACCCTGACAGCCCTGTGGAAAGGCTCACATGTGAGCAACTAAAGCTTCTAGTCCACAGCCATGTGCGCAGATTCTCTACACCCTGGCTGACAGATTGACCAACTTTGTAAAAGTTCCTGGGCCAGAGCTACCCAGCTAAGCTTCTCCTGAATTCCTTATTTTCAGAAACTGTATGTTTGTTCTTTTAGGCTGCTAAAATTAGGGGGTAATTTGTTACACACACAATAAATAACAAATGCACACTCTTTTGCACAATTGCATTGTGTGGAAACCATAAATTTGGTGTCCTAATTTTCCACTGCCAGCCCTTATTTTGCCCTTCAAGTGGCATATGAGTGCTGAAGGTATCTACCAGCAAGATTGGCCATTTCTCATCCCACACTCTGAAATATCTCCTTGGGAGATAAAAGTGGGATGTAAGATGACCCTAATTAAAATGCCCTGGAAGGCCAATTGGATTTCCTAATGTTTGGGGGGGGGTGTGTGTAATAGGAAGAAATAACTTGTCAGCAGCCTGACTTTTATTTATGGCACATGCTAAAAAGTCTTTTTATTCATAAAGCCTTTTCAGATGCTTCAAACTGAAACTCATCTGTACCATTTCTGAATTCTCATAGCACTTTGTTATAATATTTGCTATGTTTGGTTATATTATTCTCCATGTATTATTAATCTCTCTACCTAGCTGTAATATCTTTGAGGGCTGAATATCTTTCATTTGCATCTTTGCATCACTTATTTCTTTGCCTCTAGTGCTATGTGTAGCAGCTCAATAGATGCTTGTTGACTTGAACCTCAAGGCACTTGATACACAAATTCTCACAGCCTTCTGCAATCTTAGTAATACCTTCTTGAGCCTCAAAATATTTATTTTTGCCCAAGTGCAGTTTGAAAACTTTTGTTCTCTATAGAAGGTTTAGCTTGCCACTTCATTGGGCAGTTGTCCTGAAGAGAAACAATTAGTGATGGATAAAAGATGTCTTAACTTATTGCAAGCTTAGCATGAGTCAACAGTAAATGCCCCCAAAATTCACTTCAGCTAGGGTATTAGTGGGAGTAAAGAATCTTGATTGAGGCAGGTGGAGTCTCCTGCCATCTGCCCTGGTTTGGACCTTCCTCCTACCAGCATCATGCTCAGATTGGGAGACTTTGTTTTAGAAGGATAATAAAAAATGGTAGTCTTCAAGAATACTATGCAGCTGTAAAAAGGAACTCCTACCATTTGCAACAGCATGGATGGAACTGGAGAGCATTATGCTAACTAAAATAAATCATTCAGAGAAAGAAAAATATCACATGCTCTCACTCATTTGTGGATTATAATGAACAACATAAACCGATGAACAGAAACAGATCCAGAGACAGAGAAGCATCGATCAGATGCTCAAAACTCAGAGGGAAGGCAGGGGAAGGTGGGGCTAAGGATGAGAGATCAACCAAAGGACTTGTATGCATGCATATAAGCATAAGTGATGGATGTGGACAACAGGGGGTGAGGGTGAGGGTAGGATTGGGGGGATGAGGGGACATTGGGGAGATAAGGACACATTTGTAATATCTTAATCAATAAAGGGAAAAAATAAATTCAAAAAAAGAATACTTAAAGCAAACAAGAATAAGGATGGACTTGAAGAAAGGCTGAAAGAGCTGAGGTGTTGTATTTGGTTAGGAGAAAACTTGAAGTGGGTAATATAGGGTAAGGAGAGATGGTAGCTATAATCACAATACCCTCTGAAAGGGCTGTCATGAAAAGGACAAATTATATTTGTTTTGTGTGAACTAGGTTAGAACTAGAAACAATGGGAGGAAGCCACAAACAATCATGTAGTAACAAATCACAGCTAGTGTTTATTCACCAATGACTAGATCATAGGCATTGTACTATTAATCTAATTTTTATAGATGAAAGACCTCAGAGCCCAAGAAATCTAGTAAACTTGATCCAGTCACAGAGCTGATATTGAACTGACAGCATCAGGACTGAGGACAGGTATTCTGGCTGCAAAGCCCAAGAGCTTAACCACTACACACACTACTCTCAGGAAAGGATGACCCAAATAAATTTTAGAGCTGATTACATGCTACCGTGACACTGATATATATTATATTAATATATTTAATGAACTTGTTGTATACCTTAAATTTATACAATGTTATATGTCAAATACATTTCAATTTTTAAAAAGAGAGAAGTTAAATATTCTGCTGTATAAAATAATGAGCTCTCAGTCTCTGGAAAGTTTGAGGCAGAGGCATGTAACTTCTTGTCACTTTATGGCAAGTTGGATTGGGAAGTTATTGGTTCCCTGATTCCAGCCCTGAGACTTTCTGATTCCAGGTGGGAGGCAGCAATCTGGAGGCTAAACGGAATGACAAATCTCACCACTTATGCTGAGGAATTTGTCTCCATTTGTAACCAAACAAATGTGGTGATGAATCAAGCATCCTTTTTTGAGCAGCAGCCACCTGGAAGGTGGTACAGCAACCTGATGAGAGCAAACCCTAGTCTCAGAGCAGGTAAAACTCCAGCTCCAGCATGAACAAGGGGCAATAGTGACAACAAACACCTATTACTGTTCTGATTTCCTGCATGGAGTTTAAGTTAGTTCTCAGACTTAAAGGTTATTCTGTGAATTCCAATGAGCTGCCTGCCAGCTCTCCCTTTCTGCCTGACAGCCTTCCTTTTTCTTTCCAATAACAGATTGATCTGCTTACTCATTAGAGCATAGGAATGAGGGAAGATGTCAGGTTTTTGTCAACTGCCTTTTTATTTGTGCACCCTTCCTTCAGAAATGGCTCATGATGATCATACTTTTTCACACTTAACCACAGGGAAATCCTCTTCAGCCAAAATTATGAACTTGCCATCTGTCTTTTAAATGGCTACTTTGTTCACTTGCTTCATTGCATTCTTGTTTTGAGTAGTGTGTGTGTGTGTGTGTGTGTGTGTGTGTGTGTGTGTGAGAGAGAGAGAGAGAGAGAGAGAGAGAGAGAGAGAGAGACTTGTGTTTGAAACTCAGGGCTCTGAAAACACCCTCTCGTCAACATGGCACATTCTCTTTTGTAGGAAGGACTAGGAACTAGAAACTCGTGGTGCTTTACTGACATAAAGCATATCTAACAGACAGAGACAGCTTGGCTCTGTTGATGTTGGATCTATGGGACTTTGGTTTTAGTCATCAGGAGAACCCCAATTGGATTGTGCTCCTACCCATGTAGGCTTCCTGCTTAGATACTACATCCCTTCCACAATAAGAATGGAGCACTTGCTGTTTTGAAAACACTCCTCCCCCTTTTAAGTTCTAAACTGCTTTGCTTTCTTGTTCTTTTGTCAGCTTCCCTTCCCTTTAACCCCTCTTTCCATAAAGTGAGTGCATTTCTCCTCAGAATGAGTGACCCAGAGAGAAGCCTGGAGTTAGTGCTGAGGAAGAAATCTGCACAGGCATCTAGTTTCTAATTAACTTCTGTGTACATTCTACACCGAGTCTGGTTAGTTCTTAAACCATCATAATACAGAGACCAGGGTAATCTCTGTGTAGTTCAGGTAGTTATGTAAAGAGGTAAAGTATAGAATCATCACCACAGCCTCAGTCAACAATCAAGGATACAATCAAGTGCTGACAGCCTCCAAGGGAACCATGAGAGTGGAGTGGAGAGCTCACAAAAATTCTGTCCTCACTATAATAAAGAATAATAATGGCATGTGAAGGAAGAACAATACATTTTGTGTCTTTTCACAATCCAATCAGAATATGGCTGTATATGGTTAGCATAATCTGGTGGGAAAAATAGTTTCAGTTGATACACTTCATTGCTGAAAAATGAAGTGGTTTCTTAAATCATTAGACATGATGGAAAAAATCTATGTCTTATTCTAGATTGTTTCCCAATTTCCCTGTAGCACCTTGCAAATGTTTACATACCAATTCATATTTCCCACAATTCCTCAGGGATTAATAACCACAATGTCAAAGTGTTCTGAAGTTTTTTAAATGCTCGGCTAAACCAAAATTTTTTTAATCCTCACCCTTGATATATTTTTATTGACTTCAGAAGGAGGAAGGGAGAGAGACACACAGAGAGAAAGATTCATGTGAGAGAGAAACATTGATCGGTTCCCTCCTTTAAGAGACATGACCAGAGATTGAACCCAAAACCTAGATACATGCCCTAAATGGGAATTGAATATGTAACCTTTTGGTGTGCAGGACAATGCTCCAACCAATGAGCTACGGGTCGGGGCTAAAACGAATTTTTAAAAGTATTTTTCCCCCAACAGAATTTCTCAGAGCTTTTTAATGTATACTGTGCCATTTCAAGAATGGGGACATGTAGTTTGCTGCATTTCCCAAACTTCTTTGACCATAGAACCCTTTTCCTCCTGGAGCATCCTATGGAACCACCAAAAAGCATTTATCAAATTAATAAATAGTTAAAAGCACTAAAGGAGACCCTAACTCAATGAACTGCCCAAGTCGACTCACAGTGGCCCTACTGCAGTGGCCCAAAGCAAGAGGGCCAAACTTAAGCATAAGAGCATGAGGTGGAGTTTGAGACTCAGAAATCACTCTGCATGCCTCTTTCTCCCAAGATTTTTTAGTAGGCAAAATCCGGCTAAAATGAACATCAACACTTATTCAGAGGTATATTAGCCAGATCCTCAGCTTTTACTTCTCATGTCATCTTTGGCCTACCATTTAATCACTTCATTATCATTTGTTTTCCTTTCACCAGAAAATAGGAAGGAGATTAAAGAGCTATAGAGCCATTAGTTTAGAATAATCTAATTCAGCCAGTTGTGGCAACTTTTTCAAGTTTAATTTGTAGTAAAACCAAGACTAGAACCTTACCCTCTTGCCTTGACTGACTACTCTTTGCTCTTCACCTTCATTCCTCTGTGACTCTACAATTTCCTGGTCTGGCTCCTTTTTATAATGTGTTAGGATATCTAATGCAACCATAGTCTATGAGGTCAAAAGTTTAATGTCTCACCTTGGCCAGTTGTTCAGTGGTTAGAGCATTGGCCTGAGGACCCAAAGGTCACAGGTTCGATTCCTAGTCAAGGTTACGTACCTCAGTTGCAAGTTCGCTCCCTGCCCCAGGGTTGCATGTGAGAGGTAACCAGTTGATGTGTTTCTGTCACATTGATGTTTCTCTCTCTCTCCCCCTCCTCCTCCTTTCCTTTCACTATCTCTGAGAATCAATGAAAAAGAATATCCTCAGGTGAGGATTAAAAAGTTTAATGTTTCTACTGTCCAGTAATTGCTATGTACAATTGGATAGTGCACTTCAAAATGTCAACACAAATGTAAATCTGTACAATTACCAGCACAATGTGTTGACATATTGCTATAAGAGGTATTACCAGTTGGTGTTTGTTATAGACATTGCCAACTAGTTGGAGTTGAGTTAGCTATTTGAACTTCTTTTTAAAACCTGAGAAAGAGAGACTGGGCTATTTAATGAAGTCCTAACATCTAGCCAATGTTTCTAATGGCTGTATGTCAACTCATTGACAGCAGAGACCTCTTGGAATATCTTTCCTTCCCTTGAATCCCTGAAAGATGAGCTTATTTTCCAATACAGCAAAAGATTTGGTGGAGGCCTAGCTAGACACAGAAAATACAAAGAAGCAGAAATTACCTTGTAAAGTATTAAAAATGGCAAAAAGATACAAGAAAAGGATCCTCACAGGTCCCCAGGCAAAAAAGGCAAACCCCCAGGTGAGGCCAAGTAAGAATGTTAGGCTTGTTGTGCTTTTGAGGTCATATAGGATCATCTTCTGCCGAGTCTTCTGGCTTTGGGATTTTATGGAATTCAGTTGAGCAAGAACAATGCAGAACATGGAGAAGTTAATGAGAAATATGAGGCAAAAATAAGCCACAACTGAGATGTAAAATAGAGAATTGTCTTTAATCCAACAACTGTAAGAGATAAAACAGAGAAGACCATTGTGAGGTAGAGAAATATAAACTCACATTTTTCAGTGAGACTCTGAAGATCCTCTAGTTGATTTCATTCCATCTGAGAATACCTAGTTAACAGACCTCACTCATACTCACAGGGGCAGAGCTGGAAATCAAATCTCAATCTCTTAAACCACAGTCCAGGTTTCTTTCCAGTGTTGAGCCAGAAATCCCAGAGGATTTTATGCCCTACATATAGAAACCTCTCAGTCCAATTCACGACGAGGCGATTTTCTTCCTCAACAGCATAAAAACAAATGATGTATTTCCTCCAAAAGTGGTCCTTCCCTCATACCTGAGCTTTCATTTGCAGGATAAATATCACAGTAAAAGGACATGAGCAATGAATGGCTTTTCTGAATGTTATATCAAACAGTGATGAGCTTATCAGAGTTAATGAAAATGCAACAAAAAAGAAACAGCTCTGGTTGTATTACTTTAAAGTAGGATGTACACTTTAAACTTCCCACCACAGCCCTACCGGATTTGGCTCAGTGGATAGCACATTGGCCTGTGGACTGAAGGGCCCTGGGTTTGATTCCAGTCAAGGGCAACATGCCCAGGTTGCGGGCTCCATCCCCAGCAGAGGGTGTGCAGGAGGCAGCCAATCAATGATTCTCTACCATCATTGATGTTTCTATCTCTCTCTCTCTCTCTTCCTTCCTATCTGAAATAAATAAAAATATATTTAAAAATAAATAAATAAACTTCCCACCACAGCTACCAGTTTGGTCTACAGAGGCAACAATAGTCACTGGGGTGATTAATGGCTCTACCATTTCTATTAAAAAATAAATATTTGGTGATTCATAAGAACAGATATTTCATATAATAAAATTTCCAATTACTGGTGGTATTACCTCTGATTTTTTAACATAGACAAGCTTCACTAATTTAACTATGTATCAACTTAGCTGAGACCTCTTTTTCAGAACCAGGAAATTCTCTTGTGCTTATATTATTCATGCTGGTGTGGATATTTTTGTGTGTGTGTGAGTTTGGGTATGTTTGTGTGTCTTGGGAGGGAGTGGGGGGAAACATTTAATTTCCCTAATAGAATCTAATACTTAAGCTTCCCTGAATATAATCTTCAACATTAAAGAAAGCTATAGAAACTCATAAAAGAGGCAGCACTATATGTTTGAATAGAAAATCATCTCCAAGACATATTGTTAAATAGCAAATAATGTTTATCTACCATTTGGTTAACAAAGTGTGCAAGAGAATATGTATACAAATTTGATTATAATAAGAGTTGCATCAAGGGTGAGAAACTGGGTAGTTGAGGCTGGAAGAGGGTTTTATTTTTCACCCTCTACCCTTTTGTACATTTGAATTTTGTGCCATATTCCTGTGTTACTTCTTTTAAAAATATATTTTAAAAGCTCTTAGAGCATTCTGCCTCTTACTAACCACTTCACATATGAAAGGGGTGTTTTCAGAGGTAGTGTTATTGATTTTGTTCTGGCTTTGCTTTTGCTTTTGTTCTTTGAAGAATAACCATTAGCTAGATAATTAGCTAGACTTTAAGTCACAAAACAGTCAAGGAAGGAAGATGGAGGATGAGATGAGAAGGGAAAGGGAAGAGAAAGAAAGGATAGCAAGGAACTATGATTAGAAGGCATATGCTGGAAAGGGCAATAGAATTTTGACCTTCTGGAAACTGTCATCTCAATATGAAAAATGGAGGAGTCTGGGGGGCGGGGGGCAAGGCCTCCTACTTTTGATTCCAGTCCAGTGAGAGAGAAAAATCTATAGTGAAAAAGTACTTGAGAGGCAACGCTAAAGAAAATGAATATGGGTAAGTAAATAAAATCAGAAATGAGACTGTGCAGTCTAAAGGACTACATGGTAACTATCTACAGGCCTATAAAAGAAGGTTCTAGAGAGATAGAGCAAAGTAAATGGCTACTCTCTTGTGGCTATGCATGAAAGAATCAAAGAGATGGTTAGATAGATAGATAGATAGATAGTAGATAGATAAGATAGATAGATAGATTTATTATACTAGATATATTATATATGTATTAGATTTATTCAGATTCTATTCCAAAATGAGTAGGCTCTAGAACACAATGTATAAGCAAATGGAATGACTTTAGAGCTGTTAAGTACAATGGTATTCCATTAGGTCTTATGCTTTTCTTATACTCAATTTGGTACAAGGGTTTATTTTTGGCTTTCTTGCCTTTTCTATTTGATGACTCATCTTTATTCCCCCACCTTCTTAATTCGGGGTTTCCACAAAAGTTTTATTAAGGTTCACTTTTTATTTTTCTTAATGAGCTTCCTTGGTATTTTTTTTTTCATTATTTCTCCTCCTGGAGGAGGCGACATATAAGAAGTACAGGTTATATAGCCAGAAAAACTGATAATAAAAAAATTATTTTTAGCAGAGCAATGAGTGTATGCCTGAGTTTTAATAACCAAACATTGTTCATTAGCAGGCACTAACTTCGAGTAGAAATCAAATAGAATAAAAATTTAGATGAAATTAATAAAAAGATTGGTTGATCTTTGTTGTTGTTGTTGTAGTTTGTTTGGCTTTTCAAAATAATACAAAGCCATATACTAGTAAGCAAATTGCATCAAAACCTAAAGATATAAAAAAGGGAAATAGTTTAAAGTAACTTTCCCTTTATCTTCTGTCCTAATACCTCCAATTCCCTACTTAGAACACAATTATATTTACCAGGGCTTTCTGTATTATTACAGATATTTCTGTATTTACAAATGTATTTGAATATATTTTTCAACACAATTGGTAGCACATTGTACACACTACTGTACTCATTTTCTCCCTTGAAATATGCAGTCAGGATACCTCTATATCAATATAGAGAGAGCACCTTAATTATTGACCCCAATGGCTGCATATGATCTCATTTAAGTTTACAATAATTTATTTAACCAGTCTTTTAGCAATGAGTCCTTAGTTTATTTTCTTCTTTATTACAAACCATGATTTAATGACATTTCTAGTAATATATAAATTTGTAGGATAAAAACCAGTGGTGAAATATTTAAGTAAAAAAAGATAACTAAGATATTAAAATATGGTTTAACCATCCATTTTTAAGTTAAAATTTTGTAAAATAATTATCTTCAGTTTTTGTTCCATACTTTTCTCTTCTGATTTTACAAACTCTAATTTCATGCTTGGCATCACTGTATATTGTAATAGGGATTCCTGATTTCTCTCTCTTCTTCATCCTTCAAAACCATATAACCATTACATATGGTATTAATGTACTTTCTTCCAGCCACAAATCCCTGCTGAATACATACTAAATGTTATCTATCAAGACACTGAAATACACAAGAAATATGGTACCTGCCATCACGTTTAGTAAGGAATTTTTATTTGTATGCTTTTGTCCCCTGAGAAACACACACACACACACACACACACACACACACACACACACACACACACATTTCCTCCTCCTTTTTCCCATCCTATCACTTAGCTCTATAATCTCATTTCTTAACTCTGTTACTTTGACAGTTTCCTAAATGGCATCTCTGTACAACTTTTCACACATCCAATTTATTTTCAATATCACTACAGACAGATATCTCTTAACAGAATGGCTCTGATCACCCCTGTACTCAACAATCTGAAAACAACTGCAATGCTTAAAATGAGAAGAGAGCCACGATATCTTGTGTTCCAACAATAAGCAACTGAAGGTCATAGGCACTTTACTTTCATTATTCCCTTTCACTAGCTATAAGAAAAGAATGATCAGGTAGGAGGTCATAATTTGGAGATAAATTGAAATAGGTTTTTTTTATCCTAATTTATTGTCTTGAGAAATATATTATCTGTGTCATTTATTATCTTGAGAAATTTTCATTGCTTGCTGGAAATTTACATCTCTGAAAACAGACAACCTAACTGTACAGAGGTAAGGAATAGAGAGAAGTATGTTGAGTGAGAGGAATCTAAGAAGAATGCAAGTAATGGTGTCTAATGCTAGTGTACACGTGATTCCTATAACAACCTGTAGGAATGTCTAATT